GGGTCCCTCTCCGCCTGGAGACCAGGCCGCCCATTGTCCCCAGAGGTCCTGCCTATTGAGTCAGGCCCTGTGAACACTCCTCCCACACTGTGGGCAAGCCTGGGGGGGGAACCGGCCCCCCTCCCAGAAGGCACCCTGCCACGATGAAAGGGGCCCGGCGTCCGGGCAGAGGCTTGGATGCAAACTTGTCTGTGGAAGGTTCTGGGTGCTGCAGGCGGAGCTGGGAGGAGGCCTCCAGGTGGGGAGCACGTGGCCTGTAAACACCCCTCTGCATCTCCTTCGGACTGGGTTTGCAGGGTCTGCCTTCCGTGCCCGTGCTACTGAGCTGGCACCCACCTGCGGCGCATTCTGTCCACGGTCCTTTGGGGCTCGGGAAGGGTCCCTTCAACAGTGCGAGGGCTGGGGGTGAGCCAAAGCTGGCTAGGGCGGGCCAGGACAGCCCCTGCCCACCCACAAGGCTCCTCCCGTGGGGGCAGCTGCCCATTCCCACCCAGACCCAAGACAGGCTTCACTGTGGGCAGCGGGGGTGAGGATGGGGGGTAAGCCCAGTACCTGGCTGCAGGAGGTTTGGGCCACTTCTTCCTGCAGCACCAAGAAAAGCTGAGCTGCCCTGACAGGTGTGGCTCAGTTGGCTTGCAGGTGGCATGGAGGCAGGAGGACCCTCAGGGCACTCCAGTCCCTCCACATGCTTCCAGATAAAACGTTGGCCCACAGCCCAGGACCCGCCCTCTTGTCCCAGCTCCCACCTTCCCCCTCCTCTGCACTCCCACACAGGTGCCTGGCCAGGCCACTTCTCCCAGGCAGAGGGTCCTATAAAGGTTCTTCTCCAGACAGACCTTTCATGTGCATTCCATTTTCCAAAAACGGCCAGAACAATGCATGCTCTTTCCTCCCCTAGACTCTGGGTGGGCCCCCTTTCGAACCCCCAGGAGAACGCTGGTAGAGAGACGCTGCCAGCTCCTGAAGCATCCACCTGGCTCTCCCCGGGCACCGTGGCCTCTGCAGGCAGCGCCACTCTGCTCCTGCTTCCCCTCCCCTCCTCCCAGCCAAGGCCTGTGCAAGGGCTGCCCTGCGCAGCCTGCCCCTGCCCCAGGATGCTCCTTCAGCCCTGCCCTGCTGGCCTTCCTGTGGCTTCTGCTCCGACTGGTGCGAATGCACCAAAAATTGTAACTACAGGAGAAATAGAGAAGACTTTTTTCATATTATTTAAATCTCTTTAAAAGATAAGTGACTGCCCTGGCTGGTGTGGCTCAGTGGATTGAGTGCCAACCTGCGAACCAGGGCCGCAGGTTCGATTCCCAGTCAGGGTACATTCCTGGGTTGCAGGCCACAGCCCCCAGCAACCACACATTGATGTTTCTCTCTCTCTCTCTCTCTTTCTCCCTCCCTTCCCTCTCTAAAAATAAATAAATAAAATCTTTAAAAAAATTATTAAAAAAAAAAAGAGCAGGGTGCTGCCACAGCAGCACTTAGAGGAAAATTCATCACACCAAGTGCTGCAGTAGAAGGGAGGAAAGGTTTAAAAATCCATGACTCAGCTTCCACAGGAAGCAACCTGGGACAGAAGAGCAAACAGGACCCAAACTGAGTGGAAGAAAGACCATTAAAAATCACAGTGGAAGCCCTGGGTGGTGTGGCTCAGTGGATTGAGTGCAGGCTGCAAACCAAAAAGGTCGCCGGTTCGATTCCCAGTCAGGGCACACGCCTAGGTTGCAGACCAGGTCCCCAGTGGGGGCCATGTGAGAGGCAACCACACACTGATGTTTCTCTCCCTCTCTTTCGCCCCCACTTCCCCTCTCTCTAAAAATAAATAAATAAAATATTTTTAAAAAACCATAGTGGAAATCAGTAAAAACGGAAAGCAGGACACAGCAGCCCATGTACCTGAGAGCTGGTCTCAAGACCAGCAGCGCTGACACACCGCAGGCTGCCCACTCCTCCAGATCCTCAGCTCACCTTCACGCAGCAGCCCTGCGCGGCCCAGCCGGCCTGGCGCCCTGCACCTGCCTGCTCCTCCCTCTGGGCCATGCTGCTGAGAAGCACCCAGCCTGGAGTGGCACTGCGCTCCCTGTTCCCAAAACTATCCCGCCCCCTTCTTGTCTTCTTTTGAAAGGGGTTGTTCCCCACCCCACCCCACTTTTTTTAAGCGTCTCCAAAGAAAAGTTAATAATCCTCAAAATAAGGCAAATGGTTACAATATGCAATGCCAAAATAGCACCCAATAAATATCTGCAACTTGTTGCTCTTCTCCCAGCCCCCATGCCCTCGGGCCCACACCTGGACGGCACGGCAGCCCTGTCCTCGGAGGGCCGAAGACCCTGTCTCTGCGCAGGGCCCTTCCACTGACCGGCGGCCACCCTCCTGTCGCGCGAGGCCCTGGAGCCTCACCCAGTCTCTACAGCAGTTCGCCCAACAGCCAGGTCCCCCTGGAGACAGTGCACCCACCTCCTGGCCCAGCTCTGGGAGGCGGGGGTCTGGGTGGGAGCAGGAGGGGTCTCTACCCTCAGAGGCAGCTTACCTGGGCCCCAAGCAGGGCCCGGCCAGTCACCCCGCAGATAAAGAGGTGGCTGGGGCCCAGCTCTGAGCGGCCCAGTCTGGGGTCGGCGAGCCCCAGGCTCTCATCCCTGCAGAAAGTCAGCCTGCTCTCCCAGGAGCCCAGGGCGTGCACGTTCCCCAGAGAGGCCGCACCGGAAAGGGGCGCAGGGAAGGCGTGTCCAGGCTCTGCCTGGCCCGCGGTCCGCTCACAGTGCAGAGCACACAGTGGGTCACTGTGGGAAACGGTGCCCCCAAAACTGGGGACAGCACCCGCCAGCATGTGCGGGAGCAGCAGGCTGAGCACCCAGCAGCCTCAGGGAGGACCCGCTGCGCCCAGCCCCCGTCCACACAGCACTCCAGGGTGGCTGCTCCTGGGCCACAAGGCCAGGTGCCTGTAGACGCCTTTGTCCTCCCGGGGGCCAGAGACGTGTCTAGACTCCCTTTACACAAGGGACCCGATTTCTGAGCCCAGAACCACCATGTGACAGAAGTGGGTCCTTCTCCCCCACAACCACCCCCCGCCCACCTCCCATCTCAGGGACTCTCCGGACCAGCACCCTGTGGGGGCCGCGGTTCCGCGGGAGGTGGTGCTGAGGGCTGGGTCTGTGTTCTGGCCAATGGCGGTGGGGAGGGGGGGAGGGCTGTGCCCCACCTGCATCCTCCCTCCTTCCCCTGCCCCCATGCTGGTGCCCAGCCGGGCAGGGGCCTGGTCAGCACTGGGCCCGCCTTGCTCTCTGCAGGGGGCGAGGCAGGCAAGAATTTAGGCCCCCACAGGGAAGGACCAGAGTGGCTGAAGGGGACACGCAGCCCAGCCCCAACACCCCGCCCTCCCCCGCCAGCCAGGCCGTGTGGCTCATCCGCCCAGACACCACCTCCCCAGCCCTGCACGGATGTGCCTGGGCTGCGGCAGCTGGCTTGTCGTCCTTATTAAAATTCTTCTTCAAACACTCCCGTGAGTGGCCTGCTGAAGATAAACTACCAGGAGAGAGACCTTCAAAGAAAATGCTTTAATGATGCAATTATCTTCAATCAGCTCAGAACATCTTTATTACATTAGAGAGGGGCAGTCCATCTTGGGGCTCAGAAAGGGCTGCCGCCGCCGTGGGCACCAGGCCTGGCCCTGGAGGCGGTCGGAGGGCCCCTCTCCGCCTTGCTGCTGAATTTGCACGGAGAGAAAACTTTCTAATTGAATTTTTTCTGGCTGAGCAGGATGGTTAAACTGTCCCCAATGCTGGATTTCATTAAAGCGACTTTGCTTTTTCAAAAATAAATATAATAAATCGGGTTAGGTGGCGGTTTCTGGGTCCTGGGATGTTAACAAGACAAGGAGTCCTACCCCACAAAACAATCGCGTGATTTACTCTAAACGCCCAAGAGAGCCCGCGGAGCGCCGCCTCTCCTGCGGCACCCAGGACGGTTTTAAAGCAAAAACTGTTGCAGTTTTGGAAGAAGAATCGGGGGAAGCTCGGGTCTCGGTCGGGCCTCGGCTCCTCCTCCGAGCCCGGGCTGGAGATCCCGCCTCTGCCGGCGTTCGCGGGCGCCTCTGGGAGCAGCCCCGCCGGCGGGGTTTTCCCTGGTCCCGGGTCCCACCACCACGACTCTCCGAGCGGAGCGGAGCGGAGGAGCCTGACGGTGAGCCCGACACCCAGCGACGGAGCCCGCGCTCCGGGGCGTGAGCCGGTCGAGGCGCCCCCGGTTCCCCAAACCCGGCGTCGGAGGCGGGTAGGCGGTCGGGCCCTGTCGCCTTCCCCGCGGCCCAAAACCCCGGCCGCGGGAAACCCAGCCGGCGGGAGGGCGGCCCCTGCCCCGAGGACGGTTTGGTCCCTGAGCAGCCTCCCAGGGCCACGAGCGCCGAGACCCCATTTCCAGGCGACGGCAGCCCGGTTTCCAGTCGGGGTGCGGGTCCGTCAGTTGGGCCCCCGGAGTTCCGGGAGCGCGCGTGGGCCACAGCGCGCGCCGGGGGTCCGGCCCAGGGCTGGGGCGCAGCAGGAGGAAGAGCTCGGAGAGGGGAGGCGCTGCGGGAAGCACCGAGCTCTGGGCTGCGGGGCATCCGCGCGCTGTCGAGGGACGGTGCTCTGACGGCGACCCCACCAGGCCGCGCCCGCGTCGGCTCCTCCTGTGCGGACGCTGGGGACAGCCCCGCGCGCTCCCCGGGTGTCCTGGCGGCCTCCTGGACGCGAGGAGCGCGGGGCGGACGCGCGGCGCTCCGGGAGAAGGCGGCGAGCGCTGGGAGAGGCGCCGGGGCGCTGAGGGCTGCAGCCCGCGACGGACACGGAGGACCAGCCACGGCCCCGCCCCTCCCTCCCCGATCCGCGGGTCAGCAAAGCCAATGGACGTCCTGGCCCCCGAGACAGCGGCCGCTGCGATTGGACAGCGGCTCATGAAAGGGACGCCGCCTTTTTATAGGGCGCGGCGGGCCGGGTCGCCTCCGCGTCCCCGCCAGCCTGGAGCCCGCCGGCTCCCGCATGGCCCCGGCGTCGCTCATCATGAACCCCCCTGGGCTCAGGACGTGTGGCGGGGACCGCGCGGGGCCCGGCGCGTTGCCTTTCAGTGTCGACTCCCTCCTGGAGGCGCAGCGACGGCTGGGAGCGGAGCGCGCGGAGCCCGGGGAGGAGAGGCCACGGGGCGCCGCGGAGCCCCGGGCCTGGTTCCCGCCGGCCGCCCGCTCTTCCTCCCCACGTAAGTGCCCTGTCGCACGGTCCCGGTCCTCGAGGGAGCCCGCCTGGCCCAAGTTGGGAAGACCAGGGCGGGAGGGCGTGCTGTCCTTCGTCACTTCGCACAGTAATCAGCCACTGACCGCCCGGCCTGAGTACCAAGGGAGAAGCCACCCACCCGAGGCCTCCGGCGCGGGCCAGCCCCACAGCCGCTCCCGGGTCCCACACAACCAGGCTTCCGCCCTACCCGGGAGCGGAGTCGGTTCCCCAAGGGCCGGCGGCTTGTTGGCGCCCCTGTCTCCGCACCCCCGCACCCCCCCGCCCCCCGCCACCGTCTGTCCCCGCGACAGTGAGTTTCCGCTCCGCCGAATCCGCGCCTCTGTGCTCCACTCTTGCAGGGCCTCCAGCCCAGGCTTCTCGCTTCTCCCAGTGGGCAGAGCCCCCCTTCTCCCGGGGGTGACTTGGGGAGCAGAGACCGAGTCCACGGCAGCCCGCCCCTGCCTGCACCGTCTCCCCGGTGCCTTCCTGCTCTTACCCCGGTGGCTTTTAGGGTCTCGTCTCCTCTGAGGGCGCTATCCCGGAGCCGGGAAAGGGATCCAGGAGTGTCGGAACGGAGAGCTAACCGCCAGCGTCTGAGCGCCCAACCGGTGCTTCTCTTTCCTCCCAGGCGCCCCCAGCCCGCTGCCCTGCGCCCTCCGGAAACACAAGAACAACCGCAAGCCGCGGACGCCGTTCACCACCGCGCAGCTGCTCGCGCTGGAGCGCAAGTTCCGCCAGAAGCAGTACCTGTCCATCGCGGAGCGCGCCGAGTTCTCCAGCAGCCTGAGCCTCACCGAGACGCAGGTGAAGATCTGGTTCCAGAATCGCCGGGCCAAGGCCAAGCGGCTGCAGGAGGCCGAGCTGGAGAAGCTGAAGCTGGCGGCCAAGCCGCTGCTGCCCGCGTTCGCCCTGCCCTTCCCCCTGGGCGTCCACTTGCAAGGTTCCCCGAGCGCTCACGGCGGTGCCGCAGGGAACCCGCCGCACGCGCAGGGACTCCTCGCCGCGCCCGTCGCCGCCTACGGCGTGTACTACCTCTCCTAGGGGCCCGGACAGCGGCTTTGCCTCGCGGTAGCCTGCGGGTCCGCCGCCGAGGGCGCGCGCAGGGCGCGGAGACGGACCCTGCGCCCCGGAGGCCCAGGTGGCTCGTCGCGCTGAAGCTGATGCGGCGGTAAACACCCGGCGTTCCGTGCGTCTTTTTTTTTTTTTTGTCTTTTTCAGTTTTGTTGTTGTTGATACAATGTTATAATCGATGCATCAAGCCTATTTGTGGGTATCTTACAGATATTTCAAAACTTCTTAGAAATCATGTTGGCGCTAGACAGACCTTCCCGAAAGGCAGTGGACATGGTTTCATGCCGCGTCCTCGGAATGCGCCGGGCAGAGCCCCTATTTTGTGCAAGGCAGGCGACAGAGCGCTCCGAGGTTTGCCCTGCGGCACCGCCCTCCGCGCCCTGGCTTCCGCGCCAGCCCCGCTCCCGACTCGCCGGACTGTCTCCTCCGCAAGAACCTGACTCCACAACCAAGAAATGAGAGCAGTTTGGTGCCAGGGCTGTGGAAACGAAGTGCTTGGGTTCCTGGCACTAATGGGTGCGCTGCCTTCACAGAGGGGTGGACACGTTCCCATGTGTCAGGGACTTTTTTTTCTGTATTTATGTTTTTACTAAAGCGTATCCGGCAGCCTGAGGCAAGATGCTGTCCGTGAGGCATGTGGGGCGTGTGTGTGAGTGTGAAGACACGCGTGTCCACTTGGAGAGGCCAGGTGGCCTCGGGTGGGCGTGCACGGCCTCGGGTGGGCGTGCAGAGCACGTGGCGGGCAGTGCTCCCTGGGGGACCCAGCCAGGAGACACCGGGGCATGGAGCAGTCAGGGGAGGGGGGCGGTGGTCCGGGGACCAGGAAGAGTTGCCGGCTGGTCCGCAGGAGGTGGTGTTGCCAGGGTTCAGGGTCCCTCCAAACGGCGTCGCCCCAGCTGCCTCAGCTCTCACCTGGGAGTCGGGAGGGGTTAGTCAAGGAAGCCCACTCCGCCATTCAGCCAATCCCCGCTGTGGGCAGCCCCTCCCCCCCCCCGCCCCACCTCCCAGCTGCAACCTGGCGGGGACTCGGGGCTGGGGCGCCTCTCCCCAGCCAGCTCCAGACGCACTAGGTCTGGCCACGCCGAGAGCTCTGCTCAGCACGACCGCGGTGCCGCCGCCCGCGGGAAACAGCCCAGGAGCAGTCCCAGGAGTCACGACGATGTTGCGTTGAATCACATGTTACCAGCCACCATTCTCCCCGTGTTTCCTGGAAACATGAAAACTCACAACGGATTTTAAATGGAAACGACCCCAGGTTTTCAAGCGCAAGCTGCTGGAACGGAGGGCTGGTGGTGAGGGGGGCAGGACCCCCGCTGCACCTTCCGCAGGTGTGTGCCCCGCGGCCTAAGCCCCACCGCACTCAGGGTCTGCAAGGAACAGGCCTGCCCACACCGGAGAAGGCAGTGGGCTGCACAAAGGGAGCCCGCGGGGGCCGAGGGGCCGAGAGCCGCACCCCAGGCCTGGCCCAAGCGCCCGCGCACCTCGCCGAGCGCAGATGCTGCCGTTTGAGGCCGCTTAGCACCGTGACGCCCTTCTCCCATCTGAGGTTCCGGAGAGAGGCCCCGCAGCAGGGTCACGACCAAGTTCTAGCCGGCACGACAATGCTCACTCTGCCAACGGTGTGAGAACAGTCCTGTGACATGGGACAATCCCAGGCAAAGGTGGCGGTGACACCGGCCCAGGAGGGAAAGGAGCGCCTGGCTCTCCCTGCTGTCCACCGGGCGGTGGTCTCCCCAGGAGCAGGGGCCTGTGCACACAGCCCTGCCACCTCCTGCTCCTCCCCCCATGTCCCCTCGGTGCTGGCCCGTCCCTGCATTCTGAGCAGCCAGGGCTGGCATGGGAATTCGTAGAATCCGCCATTTCTGGCCAACAACCCACGTGGGCACGTGCCACACCCAGGCCCCCTCCCTTGAGCCAGTCCACCACTGAGGGTGCCTGAGGCCCGTGGGGGCCCAGGCCTCGTGCCCTTGCTGGGCGGGGCCGAAGCACACTAGTTGAGACCGGGACTCCCCTGCTGTCCGGAAGGGGCAGCTCCTCCTGGACTCAGGCTGCCGCCTGCTCTCCTGGAGGACAGGACCCCGACCCTCCTGGGCCAGCCTCTGGGCTGTGTGCCTGCCCAGCGCCTCTGCCAGCTGGCCCGGGAGGTCTCCACGGCCCTGTGGCATCCATGGGCCCTGCGGCCACTCGCCCACCCAACCCTGCACAGCAGCAGCCCAGGGCCTCTGCCGCCCCTCGTCGGAGGGCAGAAACCACGAACTCAGGTGCTGGTCTCCCATCCCCATCCTGCCATCTGCTGCGGGTGGACTTGGGGGCACCAGACCTGCCCTTGGGAGACCACCTGGAAGAGGCAGGCAGGAGAGAAGTTCAGGGCCGGCCACGCCTTTGGGGGAAGGGGGCCAGCTGGTCTGGGGACCAGGAGGGGCCAGAGGTACGGAGGGGAGGGGGCAAGGTGTGTGCGCAGTGTGGGCGGCCCTGGGTGGAGCCAGAGTGGGGAGGGCAGCACCGCGGAGAACCCCAGACAGCGACCCACCTGCCGAGCCGGGGTGTCACTTTGGGCTCATTAGTGGAGACCCAACAAACAGGCCGCACGGGTGTGGGGGACCCAAGTCTCACGCCAGCCCTACCTCAGCACCACCCCAGGAAAGAAGGCAGGGCGCTCTCACTGGGGCTCCTGGGGGGAAACCCGGTCAGGCCCCTGGGCCCCTTCTGGGCACTACTGGCTCTCAGAGCCCTGCCGGCCACCTGCGCCAGCCTTGGGCTCTCCACGCCAGCCCAGCCCTGTGTCTGGGTGCTGCTCCTCGGCCACCCCAGACGTGGGCCCTGTGCCACAGGCACTTGGAGGTGCGTTGGGTCAGCCGTTTCAGGGTTTCTGGAGGGCCCGACTCCCCAGATCCAACAGAAGCTCGAGCACAAAGCAGCAGCTGTCTGGAGGGCAGAGAATTCCTCGTGGAACTTCTGGAGACACAGGGGCACGGGGGGGCGTCCAGAGCCCGGTGGTGGGGCTGTGGCCCCTGCTCTGCCGGCCAGGACATGCCACTTTGCACATCTTTGGTGCATGGGAAGGATCTCGTGACGAGAACTCTACCACGCAGCACTTTGTCCACCACGAACCCCACTCCTGCGTCCCTTGTTCTCTCCTGCCCCCGTGTCCCTTCCCTGCCCTGGTCCCAAAGCCGCGAGTGCCCCCGGAAGTGTCTCTGGAGAGCCGGGCCCGAGGTCCTTTCCTGGTGCCAGGACTCGCGACACTGAGCCGATGCCTGCACGTCGGTGCCTTGCACTTCCCGAGCTGCGTCCCTCACCAGCTGCACCATCGCTGCTGTCGCTGGCAGCGGGCGGGGTGCTGTGCGCCCGTCTGTCCGTGAGACCACCGAGGAGAACCACCACACGGCAGGCTAAGCCGGCCGGCACGGCCAGCGGTGGAAGGAAACTGAGCCAGCGTGTATGAGCTACGTGGGTTTTTAAGAGCGTATTTATTTACTGGCTTTAGAGGGAGACGTGAAGCAGGGAGAGACGTCGTCTGCTGCGCCGCCTGCTCCTGCGTTCGGAGGCGGGTTCTTGCTCGCGCCCCGGCCGGGGTCAGACCCGCGACCTGCGCATCAGGACGCACTCTGAGCGCCGGAGCCACCTGGCCGGGGCCTGGAGCGTGTTTTCAAAAACCACAGCAAAATGCCACACTCTTCCTTTAAACACTCAAGGGGAGGTTTTCCCCCCAGGCTGCACTTTGAAATCTCTCGCCCTGCCCCCAGTGAGCCCGGTTTTCCCGCCTGGGTGGAGAGCGCGAGGCTGGGGCCGGGCCAGGCCGGGCCGGCGCTGGGAGGCCCGCTGAGGCCGCTCTGTGGGGTCTGTCAAGCGGAGCTGAAACGGAGCACAGTGCACAGCCCCTCGCCCGGGGCTGGTCTTGCAGGGCCGGCGGGGCATGGATGACATGCCCGAATCAGCTGGGAGGGGCGATGGGGAGCTGAGAAGTGGGCCTGGGGAGCTCATCTCGCACGTGGCACAGCAGAGGAGGACCGGAAGACACCAGAGCCACCAAGAACCACGGAGGACAGAGTGACGGCTGTCACACACACTCAGCTGGAAGCTGGGGAGGAGAAGGGACAGAAGGGGGTAGGGGCAACATTTGAAGAGAGAAAACCCTGGGTTCGAACAAACCCAGCGCAGAGCGGCCGGAAAGACAGGCGTCTCCACGCTCACACCTGCGTGGGGCGCCCAGGATGGAGAAGGCGGCAGCCGGTTGACACCGGTGATCTCGGCAGTGAGGGCGCACACCGGCCGTGGGGCGCGTCCACGCACTGCGGGGAAACCGCCGGGCCCTGCGTGCCTGGCAGCAGCGTCCCCAGGAACAGGCACGTGGGTGCTTTCCCAGCAGACGCCACCGAGAACTTCGTTACCACTGCTGTCGCCCAAGGAAGTTCCAACGACAGGTGTTGGGCAGAGGTGAGAGCTCCCACACAGGGGGTCCGAGCAGTGGTGACCGTGGGGGCTCACACACACGGACCACCAGACCCACAGCCCCGACGCCGCGCGGGATTGGACAGGCCAGAGGGCCGCGGACGACCCCGGTAGCGTGCAGGGCGGCGGAGGGGGGCACCCGCGCGTGTCGGCAGTCCTTGCCCTGCTGGGGGAAGGGAAAAGACAGCAGTGAACCTTAGACCCAAACAAGGGAAGTAACGTTTTAATGTTAGTAACGCTAACATTTGTGGGGAGAACTACTCGAGTAATAACCAGGGAGTGTCTAGCTTCCCCAAGAAACAACGAGAGAAGCTCACCTCACGGGAACAAGGCACGGAAAGGGAGGGAAGGGAAGAGGCGGGACGAGGGCAGCGCGTCTGCCCACGGCCCTGCAGGAGGTGGCCGGCCCCGAGGCTGGTGCCGGCCCGGGAGGCACCCAGACCCGCTGCTGGAGCCGCACCGTGAGCCAGCGCCCACCGGCGCTGCGTCCCCCTCCTGGTGCGACCTCACACGGCAGGTAGGGACATGCAGCCACCTGACAGGCCCGGCCAACCAGACGTCAGACGCTGGCTGTTTCAGGTAAAACCAGGCGTGGCTGCCACGCTTCCCACCAGGAGCAGCTCCTCAGAACCCGTCACGCTGGCGGCTCTCCCATTCGTCAGCAACACCCGCACATGGAGTTTCACGTTCCGTGTTCCAGAAGAAAACCGAGACGAGAACAAGCCGCCTTCTAGGCAGGGTGCCGCTGGGGTGGGCACATGGGACCGACAGCCCCCAGAGATCGTCACACACAGGCCTCCGTGGCGGCGCACGGGGACGCGAGGGTTGGTAGGACGCACGGCTGCAGGAAGGCTGGCGTGCTGGCCTAGAGCCGCAGACCCCGGGGCTGGGGGTGGGGGTGGGTCTGTGGGGGGGGTGGGTAAGCAGGGCTCCCGCGGGTTAGCCCCTTCTCAAGGACGGGACCCGGCAGCCCCGGCGTGAGCCTCACGAAGGCGGCCACCGTCCATCAGGAGAAGCGTTGTGGGCTCTCTCCCACCACGAGCACCTGCACTTGAGGCTTCGCCCTTTCTCCCAGCACCGGGCAGCCCAGCAGGTGTTTCCAGCGTGTGGCGTCGCCCTGTGACGTGACACTATCTGAGACCGCCCCCCCCCCACCCCAGGCCTCCCAGGGCTGCGGGGGTGGCTGTCAGAGCTGGGCAGCTGCCCGTGGCTGAACCCAGAGCCAGGACGAGAGTGAGTGGAGGTGAGCGGGGAGGGGGCACCCTCTGCTGCTGGCCCAGCCCGAGTCGGGGGCCACAGCCAGCATGGAAGCACCCCAGGTCCATACCTGCTGGGGACGAGGCATCTGGGGGAGGCCCCGCCGGAGCCCCACCCTGTCGGGCCAACAACACTTATGTGATCGAAACAGCGCTGACCATTGTCTCTGTCCACACTCTGGAGTCCACACGGGGGCCTGGGCTCTGCTCTGCTCCTGCCAGGAAGATGCCGGCCGCTGCCTCCCACCTGGCGCTGCCCCTCCTCGGGGAGGCCGCCCCGGTTGGCGCTCCTCCTGCAGCACGGGCCGCCCACCCCAGGCCGCCCCAGAGCAGGGCCCGCTCGCACTGCGGGGCAGGCTGACCCAGGACCTGCCGGGCAGTGGGTGCTGCCCCGGCTCCGCCCACCAGAGGTGCCAAGACTTCATGGTACGTCTTCGTGACGACCGAACGCTGGAAACCAAGTGCTCGCGTGTGATCGCTGCCCGTCCCCAGTCGAGTCCCACAGCACGGAAGGGACGGCTGGGGACCGTCCTCAGACACCGCGTGCTTCGGAAGGGCCTCTGGGGGCTGGCCCCCAGAGGGAGGTGGGCTGGAGCACAGGTCAGGGCCAGCCCTGGAACCGCGGTCTCTCACTGCTGACGCTGGCTGCTGCTGCTGCCACCTGGCCACTCGCTCAGGGACCGAGACACGGAGGTGGCAGAGGTCTGGTGCTCGGGCGGCCACACGAGTAGGCGAGAGACAAAGTTCCCTACTGACTCCAGGTCCACCGAGGGTGCCGGTCCCGCCCCCTGCCAGTGCCCCCTCGGCGTCGGCCGTCACTGGTGCTTGTTTCTTTTCTTGCTGCTTTTAAACCCGCGTGATGCGCCGTGACCAAAACAGATGGTAGGAGGTATTCTGAAAGGGAAAAACAATCTCCATGCCGGAGTTGCACCCTCTGCCCACAAATGGCCCAGTCCCTAAGAGCAGCCGTGCGTGCGTGTCCTTGTTCCAGAATGCTCTCTCCCTCTCGCTCTCCTCACGGATCCTGCTCCGGGGCTCCGGGGCTCCGGGGCTCCAGGGCTCCGGCGCAGCTCCCTCTGCCTCTGGCCAGCCTCTGCCCTGCTTCCTCTGGGCACTGGCTCCCGCCCAACACCCTGGGCGACTCCTGTCGCCCGCCCCATGCTGAAACCCTATCTGCCCACTAGCATCTGGACTCACTGGGTGGCCAAAGCAGGAGCAGCTGCGTGAAGGAAGCTGAGGAATACGGGTCCTTCTTTCTGTCACTTTGGATTCATTGGTGAGTTTTTCATTTGTCCAACATTTTCCCCAAGATTAGATCTGAACTCGAGTTTAACCCAATAAAAGCTACTAATACTAGAAACAGACTCACATAATTGCAACTTCAGCAATTGCAACCAAGCGTCTCTCTGTCCAGAAGGAGCAGTGCTCTGCATTCCTGCACTGCAGGGCTTCCGGAAGCACAGTGAGCGAGAGGCACTGAGCTGTTCTCAGGAACTGCTAACAGCCGGCTTCCAACTCCCAGTGAAGCCCACACTAGCTTCTCCCAGGGCCAAACCCACCATTCTCCACGTCCAGAACCTCAGAGCTGTCAGCTACTGACCTGCGGCTGTAGGCCCGCCTCTCACCCGTGAGCTCTGTGGGGGGCAGCGTGTGTTCGGAGCAGACTTCCATGGCATCCCCTTCCGACTGCTTCCCGATGTCCCCGGGGGCTCCCGCCGACACATGCAAGGAGGCTGTGGGTGTGGCTGGGCTGTGGGAGGCAGGGGGCTGAGCAGGGCTCCACAGTGGTGGGTGTAGCCCCATCCGCCCCAGAAGTGAACTGGCCAGGAAGAGACTGTTTCTGCAAAGGCATTTTATGACGACTTTGGCGTCACGTAATGGTCAGGCTACCAGGATAAGGAGGAGGATTCCTGCAAGCTCGAATGTGCACGTAGACACAATAAACACGACATCTTATAACTTAGGTACAACACTTACACTTTGCCTTCAGAAGTGTTTTTATGGTGCCATGTGATAAATACCAATGAACAGCGACAGAAGTCTTTTTACACCAGTGAGAAATTCTCTAAAATTAACTATACGATATTGAGAGTCTCTTCCCTAACACTGATGTCTCGACCCAACATATAGGGTTTTTGTCCTAAAATGATCTCTCGCTAAGAAGGGAGTTCCCTCACACTCAAGGTCTTATAAAAGCCTCCCACGCTAGAGTGGGTTCCTGCAATTATTTTAAACAGCAAAATCCTGTTTGCAAGAAAAAATAAGTCTGAAAAGACAACTTTCAATATGACCTTCAGATGGATACGAAGGTCTACCTGAAAGAATCAGTTTCAAAAAAAGCAAAGAAACATCAAGCAAACTTCAGAACCATTTGCGAGGCGTCTCCCCACAGGGCACTCTAAACAGCCGTGTGTAATAAGCGGCTGTGGTCAAGTTCGTCAACACACCGGCAGGACAAATGAAAAGCCAGAGGGCCCCACGTGGGGCTCACGGGGCTGGGACGATTCCCAGAGGCCCACGGGGCAGGTGACGTGCGAGCGGGGCTGCTGTGCTGGGCGCAGGTCAGCTACAACCTCACGAGACGTGAGCGCAGACAAACACAGTGATGTCCTCAACGCCCCAAAGGAGACGCCGCGATGGCACCCTAGTGATTCCCTGTGGAGCCGGGAAGCCAGACTATCTGTGCCCTTCAGCCCTCCCTCCGGCAGGGTGGCTGCACACAGGACAGGCCCCTGTCTGCTTAACACCTACGGTCAGTAGCTCCAACTGTCAGGGTTTCTGTTAACCGCAGCCAAACTCGACAGTATGGGACACAGTATCTACGAACCCAGAGGCCTCCCTGACGGCAAGGGGTGGCCGCACCCTGCAGCGTGAGCGTGCACACCACCACACGTACCCTCTGCCTTCCTTCGGTTTGTCAAACCGGAAGTCCGCAGGGTAGAGGTGACGTCGCACCAGGTGATCCTTCCTGTCTTTGCTGGTCTTGAACTTCTCCGTGCAGCCTTCCACCAAGCACTGATACTGAAACAGAAATGGAGTTCCCTCCATCCACAGAACTGGGACCAGGGTTGGGGAGGTGCCCCCTGGTCTTGCCTGGACCCCAGAGCTGGGAGCCCCGCTCCTTAGGCAGACGGCTCCAGTCCAAGGCCCCCAGGATGCTGTGTCACCCACCATGTCCTGCCTCTCCGACAGGATCTGGAAGAGGGAGTCGTGCCACTCCAGGATGTGGATGTCCAGCAGGTGTCCCGAGGGGAAGGCCCGCTTGCAAAAGGAGCACGTGTTTCTGTGCTGGGTGTGGTAGTGGTGCTCGAAGTCCTCCAGGGTGTCGAAGACCTGGCAGCAGCCCGCCACCTGACAGGCGAACTCGGGCACCCTGGCAAAGGAAACCGCCGCTGGCTAAGAACATTAGATTGTCGACAACTTCCCTTTAAGTGGCCTGATAAAGCTTCGGATGTTTTTCTGCAATTCGAAATAACGCTTTTTTAAGAGTGAACTTTTTACAGGCCGCCCAGGTGAAGGCGAGGCCAACAAAGCGGGGCTTGGAGGGCGCGCGACTGGTCACCAGGGAGGGGCAGGCCTGGGGACCCGGGAAGGGGGCGACGAGGGGTGGCGCGGGGCGCAGAGCAGCTCACCTGGGCCTCTCCGGCGCCTCGGCCACCTGTGTGAGCACGTCCTGGAGGTACAGGTGCCGCTGCACGTCCCCATCCTGCAAGACACACGCAGTGAGCGCAAAACTAGAGGTCCCACCCACCCGGGCTCCAGCCCGCTCCCGCCTTAGCCCCGCCCCAGCATTCAACGGACTCGGCACGGAGCCGGAGGCCCCGCCCATGCCCCGCCCCGCGGCCCTAGGGCTGGCCTTTCAACTACTACCCTTTCCCTCGACTCCGTACCTCGAAGAACTCGTGCTCCCGCGGGAAGCGCACCAAGCGCGCCGCGAAGCGGAAGGGTGTGGCCCCGGCGGCAGGGTCCCGCTCCACGGGCAGCGGCTCCGCCGCCCCGGGGCCCGCCACTAGGCGGGCGTGCAGCGCGGGCGGCAGCTGCATCGTCCTGCGCTAAATGGCCTGTCACGCCCGTCGGCCACCGTCCCCGAGCAGGCCGGGGCGGGACCGGACGTAACGTCAGAACCACTTCCGCTTCCGGCAAGGGCTGCGCGACGGGTTTCGGCGGGCTCCAGAGGTGTCGCGGCGCCGGTGGTGAGTGCGGACCGTGCAGCTGGAGCGGCGGGGTCCTTCCCAACCCCCGTGGTGCAGAGGCTCGCGCCCCTCCCCCGGGTCGCTCCCGGGCCTCGGGAAGCGGGGGTTTTATCGGAAGCCTCCGCTTAAAGCCCTTCGGTGGCCCCCCATTCCCTGAGTCCTGGGCCCGCGTCCCGGAGGTCGGTCCCTGCGCTCCGCCTGCCTTCCCGTCTCCTCCGGCCGCTCAGCGCCCGAGCCGCTCAGGGCGCCGTGCCCGGTGCCCATGGCGCAAGAATCGGATGCGGTCAAGCATTTCCCAGGCTGAAATGTGATAGGCGACACGTACGGGCCCCCAGGGCGCTCGAGACTTAATGTGGCGAGTGGGCCGGGTGCTCCCAGGCGCCCGCGGCTGGGGGTTCCTGCCTGCGCCTCCCGGTTGCAGCCGCTGCTGTGCTGGCGACCTGGGCACCAGCCTGTGCCTCCTGTGCCCTCCCGCTGGGAACCAGTGTTGGATGTGTGTGCCCCGTGAACAGCAGTTGCATCCAGAGAACTTGTTTCCCATCCCCGGGATCACAGTTACGATTAGGATTCGTGGGTGAGATACTTACTGGCAGGGGAGACACCGTGCTCTCCAAGGTGGTTTTCCCAGGGCGAGGCTTATGCGTTGCAGTGCGGATGTGCTGACCCCTGCGAATTCCCCAAATGTGGGAAACTCGACTGCATAATTTGTGATGGTGGGGGACTGCGTTCGCGCTCTCCCCTAAAAAAAAGAAGAGATTCCTGAGTGATTGATTAGCTGTGGCTCCTGTGCCGGTGGTCTCTGCTGCTGGCAGCACGGCGGTCCCCAACCTCTTTTGGATCTCAGAGCCTTTGAGAATCTGTTGAAAGACTGTCTCAGGAAGTTCATGGGCAGAAATGACCCTGCCCTGATCCCAGCAGGTGTTTTGTTGTCCGTGGACCTGAGTTGGGAACCTGTGTAGGTAGATTGACACGTGTATGGGGAAGGTGTGAAGTTTGCTCCCCTTTGTTTTTCCAGTCTACAGCTGACTGCCCCTGAGTGTCTGTTCACTCCCTCCCATCAGCACTGCTGATGGCGACGGCCAACAGGGCCTGTCATCAGTGGGAGCAGAGCCCCGTGCAGGCCACTGCCGGTCCCTTGGGCACATCTCAGTTTCAGCCTTGAGACCGGGGGTTCTGTATCTAATGGGGAGACCCCGGGACATCTGGTCGGCAGGGCCAACTGAGCAGAAGTGGAACCCCACCCAACTCAGATGCACAGGGAACGGGCAGCAGTTTTAGGAAGAGCACCTCCACCTGTAGCCAAGCTTGGGCAAGAGAGGGGAAGGTCCCGGGTACCAGAGTGCAGAGAGGGTGCACACCTGAGCAGCACAGGGTTCGGGAACCAGGCGTGGGCCTCGTGGGCTGGAGCTGGGGTTTGTGCTGGGACAAGGGCCAGTGGCTCCAGCCTGTGCAGAGCTCCCTGCACAGACCCAGCCCCCCACCAGGGCCACTGAGTCTGCCCGCCACTGGCCCAGGGCCTGGTGTTGTGGCCACCTGGGGTGAAGGCGGGCCCAGCCTGAGGGTTCACAGCCTGTGCTCCTGAGCTGTGGGAGCTCGGGCGGGCCCAGCCTGGGTCCACAGGCTCCCGAGCTGAGGCGTGGGCCTGGAAGCTGGCTGCGGGTGGATCCCCAGAGGCCGTGTGCGCACTGGAGACAGTGCCCAGGGACGAATGACAAAGACAAACCACAGCAGGGCGCCACCCGCAGGCAGGGGAGGACTCACCGCACAAACGAGCCCTGGCGGGTCCACGGTCCGCAGGAGGCGGCTGTGGTGATGGCCCAGCGGGGCATCGTGTGGCACACAGGATGATGTGGTTCCTCAAAGACGCGACGTGGGCCAGGTTTGACTGCTTTTATAAATACCTTTCCTCTCACCTCAGGAGAACACTCTGGGATGCCGTCTCGGAGCCAGAGCTATGAGTGAATTTCGGATACACCACGATGTCAACGAGCTGCTCAGCCTGCTGCGTGTGCACGGGGGGGAGGGGGCCGAGGTGTACATCGACCTGCTGCAGAAGAACCGGACCCCGTACGTCACGACCACCGTGTCGGCGCACAGCGCCAAGGTGAGTGCCCGTCCCGCCCCTCGCAGGGTTCACCTTCCCCACCGGGCACCCTGGCCGTTCCGGCGATGGGGCCAGAGAACCTTGGCCAGTTTTCCTGTGGACCCCGAAGCGGTTCTGCCCCTCAGCCCAGACAGAAGGGTAGACGGAAGCTCAGGGAGCCCAGGCCCTTCACCATGCCCCCCCCATGACGGGGGGGCACGCAGCCGTGTCTCTGATGTGTGGTCACATCGTGGCACAGACGTTTCCCTGACGGAAAGGGGAGCTCCCGGGAGTGACCACCTTGAAATCCCTTTCAAGTGAATTATTTTTATTTATTCAAAAAATATGCAATTCTGTCTTCTTGGTAGCACGGTTGTGAGAGTGTTTACCTAATACGCCAAGGTTATGGGTTTGATCCCCGGTCAGGGCACATACAGGAATGGAAGTATCAGCAAGTGGAAAACAGATGAGTGTTTCTGTCTCCCTCCCTCCCCCGCCACCCTCTCTTCCACTGAAATCAATAAACAGCTCTGACTAGTATGGCTCAGGGGACTGAGTGCCGTCCTGCAAACCAAAGGGTCGCCAGTTCACTTCCCAGTCAGGGCCCAGGCCCGGGGGTCCTGGCTGGGGGCGTGGGAGAGGCAGCCCCACGTGGACGTTTCTCTCCCTCTCTTCCCCCCGTCCTTCTTCTCTCTCTAGAAATGGGCACATTTAGAAAGTTACAGTCAGCGAGGAAGCAGAGCCCCTGAGCCTGTGCCTGGTGTGCGTCTCAGGGGAGCCGAGTGGAGGGAGCTCCCAGGGGAGAGGCCGTGGCTGCCCGGGGGGGTTGGAGGTGGCGCGAGAGAGCGCTCGGAGGAGGCCGCAGTTTCACGGGGCGCGTGACGCGTCGTCTCAGTGTGCTCCGGGTGATGAGTGGCCCTTTAGCCTGACTGACTTCACTGTGTCCGGGTGGTTGTGTTCAACTTCCTGGAAGATGTTTTCACGGTTCTCCATTATTGTTGCTAACTCGCTCGTGTTTGTGCTTTCGAGGTTAAAATAGCAGAATTCTCTCGTACTCCAGAAGACTTCCTAAAGAAATACGATGAACTGAAATCTAAAAACACGCGGAACCTCGATCCCCTGGTGTACCTGTTGTCAAAGCTCACGGAGGACAAAGAGGTAGCTGCTGTCGCGCCGGCGGTCCGGCATGTGTCCAGGGGGCGTGTGCTGTGGGTGGTGCCAGTGAGTGTTTTAAGCCCACGGGCTTGCGCAGTGGAAATGGCACCTTGTGAGTCCGCTGTCCTTGCGCTTCTCCCGCCACGCGGCCTGGCTGTGGCAGCAGAGTGGAAGGAGCTCCCGACGGCAGACCCGGGAGGTGCCAAGAGCTGTTACCTCTGGGGGCTGGGTTTTGGCGGCTGTCTCGTGCCTCCATGTGTCGGCTTACGTCGTGCGTGTGATGCGTGTGACTCCACGGAGAACACGTGTCGGGCACCCAGGGGCTTGTTGGGTCCTTCCTCCTGCTGCCCGGGGCCCGGGGCCTCTTCGGGGGTGGAGGCGCAGCCGGACACCTCTAGTGCCGGGAGCGGGGTGAGGGGGGGGCGGTCAAGTGTAGAGAAGGGGCAGTGCCCTGGGCGCAGAGGTTGGGGATTGGCTGTTAGAGCCACTGCAGGGTGTTCCTCCGTGCGGGAGAGCACGCGGCACCGTGTGGCAGGAAGCTGTGAGACCAGACACCAGCTCGAGGGCTGGCAGGAGACCGGCTCTCGCCCTCCTCGGGGTCGCTGGGGCTGGGAAAGAAGGGGCTGGGGTGGCTGTGCCGGGCGGGGTGCACTCACGTGCGGCCCCGTCTCAGGCGGGGCTCCGTGTGCGCAGACACTGCAGGTCTTACAGCAGAATGCGAGGGAGAGGGCCGAGCTGGCCGCCGCGGCCGCAGCCAGCAGCAGCACCAGCCTCAGCGCCCCCGCCCCGGCCACCAGGATCTCCCTGCAGGAGCTCGAGGAGCTGAGGAAGCAGCTTGGCAGCGTGGCTGCGGGCTCCACGTGGCAGCAGGTACTGCAGCCCCCGCCCGCAGGCCCACACTCGCTGCCGCAGGGCAGGGGTGCACGGCTCACTGCCGTCTGTGAGAGGCGGGTCTGCATGTGGAGGCCGACCACGACCAGCCGTGTGTGGACGAGGGTCCTGGACAAACTGGGGCGGGGGTGTCCCACCCGGACAGTTGGCTACCTGCCAACGCAAACTGCAGTTCCCCGTCTCCCTCTGCTAGTCTGGGACAGCTCGTCTATTTCATTGATGCTTCGCAGACCATCTTCCCTGCACAGTGCCCTCTCCTCTGTGCTTACTGCTCTTCTCGGTTTTGAGTTTACGTCCCGCCCTGTTCTCTCGACGTACGTCCGCCTGCTCACGGTGTTGCCTCTGGCCTTCGAGCCCCGCAGACCGGTGTCCCTGTGAGGGCCCGAGCTGAGCTTGTTGGGTTGGGCGCAGCCGCCGTGACCGGGACAGCGGCCAGCACTGGTGGGGCGTGTCCCGTGTCCACCAGCTCGCAAAGCCCTCACGCCAGTGGCCCGTGTGACAGACGAGGAAACCGAGTCTGCCCGTGTCATCGCCACGCCTCAGCCGGCGCTTCGCAAAGCCAGGCCCCCGGGGGGGCTACTGCCGTGTGCGAGTGCCTGCGGCCAGCCCTCCCTGGGCGGTGCTCCCGCCCGTCCCCTGTCCCCAAGGGGCTTGGGCGGGGCACCTCGTCTCCAACCGTCTGTCTCTGGGGCCACGTCTTCGCCCAGCAGGTCGTGTCCAG